GTTGTAGCTATGCGGTGGCAAACTGTCTAATGGTGTGCTTTTACACATCTCCTCGCAACTCTGTGTTCAGTGATGTTATTTAATGTTGGTAGATTGAAATCAGCCGTGGAGTGAATATTTATACCATAGAACCCAGCAAAGGCTGCAAATCAGGGCTCACAAGCTACTAAATATTTGTCAGCATACCTGTGACTATGCTCAGCCTGGAGGTGGGGGTGAGGGTGGGGGTGGCAGAGATTAGGATCGATGAATATAGTCAAAAAGTGTATTAAGGGCACCTGGCTCAGTAGGTTGAGCGTCCAACTTCTGCTCCCAGCATGATCTCAAAATCTCGGGGTTTCTTGAGAGTTCGAGCCCTACATCTGGCTGTCTGCTGTCAGTACAGAGCCTGCTTAGGATCCTCTGTTCCCCTCTCTCTGCCCCTACCCCACTTGTACTCTCTCAAAAATGAATAAACATTAAAAGAAGTTTATCATTTAACAAAACCTACAATTTTTACTGCTTCATCCCAAAGTTTTCTTCATGTTTAAGTTTTCACAGATCATTACACAGGGAACACTGAACCCCTATTTGTGATATTTCTGATCACTCAGTGTGAAAATCTATGTGTATTTCCTCTTCTCATTTTCTTTCTTTGCACACAAGCATTTAGATGGTTAACTTTCGGTAGCATAGGAGTAGCATTTTATGCTGCTCCTGGCTCTCTGCCCCCAAACTTTTTCTGAAATTCACCAACTTCTTACCCCCAGAGCCAGCTGGCTCAGAAGGCCTCCTTCAGGCCTCATCAAGGCCCTGCAACAGCCTTGACCTCATTTTCATTCTTGTTCTTCGCAAATCGTTTTCTCCATATAGCAGTAGGAATGGTGTTTTTTCAGAATACATCAACTTTACTTTTTTCCCACTTAAAAATTTTTTTTAATTTTTAATTTTTTTTTAAATGTTTATTTATTTTTGAGAGAGAGATAGAGCGCAAGCAGGGGAGGAGCAGAGAGAGAGGGAGACACAGAATCTGAAGCAGGCTCTAGGCTCCCAGCAGTCAGCACAGAGCCTGACGCAGGGCTCGAAATCACAAATGGTGAGATCATGCCCTGAGCTGGAGTCAGAAGCTGAACTGACTGAGCCGCCCAGGGGCCTGGACCATTTTATTTTATTTTTTAATTGCATTACTGAGGTATGATTGACACACAAAAAGCTGTACATGTTTAATGTATACAACTTGATGAGTTTGGAGATAACTATACATTAGCACCATCTGTACGAGAAACACCCATCACCTCCAAAAGTTTCTTCCAGTTTTCTTTCTTTATTATCATTATATTACTAATCATTTTTGTGGTAAGAACACTCTCGTGATCTACCCTTTTAGCAAATGTTTAACATCTATAATACAATATTAATAACTATAGGCACTATGCTATATAGTAGATCTCTAGGACTTAGTCATAGGAACAAATCTTTGAAACATGCAAATCAGGTCATGTCACTTCCGTCTTAAAACCTTTCCAGGGGGGTATGCATTGCACTTAGAGTAAGATGTAAATTGTGTGTCACAACCCCTAAGAATCCACAAGATCTGGTCTTTGCCTATTTGCCCTACTTCATCTTCTCATTGTTCCTCTTATAGTCCCTGGAACAAGTCCATTTTTTTCTGTGTCAGAGTCTTTTGCACAACAGCTCTGTTGTCTGGACCATCTCCACGCTTCCCTTTCCTCAAAGCCTCGCTGCTTTTTGTCCTTCAGATTCAAGCTGATATGTCACCTCCTCAGAGAAGTCTTCTTTGATCATCCTATATAAAATGGGTCTTTCCTCTTATATTTGTCTTAATATAGGTCTGTATCTCTTTCACTTATTGCATTTTGCATCATTTTAAAATATGTATTATTTATTTGCTCGTCTTTTGTCTGGTTCCCCAGCTAGACAGTAGGCTTCATGAGTTCAGGGACTGGGTCTATCATGTTTCATCAGAGTATGCCCAAAGTCTGGAACAGTGACAGATACATAGCGGGCACTCAGTAACATTTCTTGAATGAAACATGCATGAAGATTTCTTTAAGCCCAGGGTTACATTTTGTTATAACTACCATTTTCAAATGAAAATAACATGAATTTTGCTTCTTTCTCTTTTGACAGAATAACAAAAATTTGTTTCCCTTTCATGTATTTCTTCCACTTTTATGTCTTTACTGGTCTGTTTCTTTTTGCCTGGCCTACCTGCTGCCCCTCTACCACCTGCTGTCCATGAGGTCTCATCTCCAAGGTTACTCCCCCAGGAACTTTCTTCTGGTCTTCCCAGATTGATATGCCCTTTATTCAACCTCCCTCTTCCTCTATTGTGCCTTCCCAAAGGCTCTTACCTTGCTGAATGTGATTGTAAAGTAGACTATAAACTTTTCCAGAGCCCATACAACTCTATATCCCCGAGGAACCTAACAACATGCTTTATAGATAACCCTGCCCTCAGTAAAAGTTGCTCAATTAGTTTATGATGAAAAACTGAAAAAAAATGAGCTAATTACCCAAATGTTTCCAAATGTCCAGATGTTTATCTTCATGTAAGAAAAAAGAAAACTTTGAATGACTGATTAAATGTCTTCTTTTTCATCTTTGTGGTTTAGAATTGTTTAAACACAATCCCATGGTTTGTTTCTTATCAGCTTAACCGTGTTCTCTCCCTTGCTCAAACAGTGCAAATTTGCCTTCGCCTTGTGCTTCCTCTTTAAAAAAAAAAACTTAAGCAACTTAGTGTTTTCCTCTTTAAAGAAAGGCTGAGAAACACTAAAAGTACTAATATTGAAGAATAAATATCGTGAGGTGAAATTCCTTTTGTGGATTTTGTAGGAAGAGCCAAGGCAGACCTGCTCAAAGGACTGGCTGTCTCTCTAGGCTGGGATCAAAGGGCAGGTGACCTAGATTCCAGACTGATGTTTGCAGCATAATGTGTTTGCAACTCTGCCTCCAAATTCCAAAGAAGGTCACAGTAAAATGAGTGGGGTTGATGATGACTCCATTTTCTTAACTTAAAAGGCTTAGAAAAGTAATGTGCCACTCATTTTCAAAGTTAATGAAAATCTTGTTTTTATTTTGACTTTGTACAAGTATATCTTATAACCCAGCTACACAAAATGGGGGCTATGAACTTTCTGGGATGATGGCAATGATCTCTATTTTGATAGGGTTGTGGATTACCCAGGCGCGTGCATTTCTTAGAATTCATAGAACCAAGCACTTAAGACCTGTGTGTTTCCCCTATAGATATTGGACCACAATTTTTTAAAAGGAAAAAATAAAAGATAACACATGGGTATTGGGGAAAAAAAAACAAGCAGTGCTGAATTAGATAAGGGAAAAGATTCATAATTAAAAAATGACATAAGCAATTATCAGGCAATGTGGTCCATGGCCAGCAGCATCCTTCGGCATCACCTGGGATCTTGTTTATAAGTGAAGACCCTCTGGCCTTACCAGGGAACTGCTGACTCAGGACCCATGGTTTAGCAAGGTGCCTTGTGTAATGTGTCTGCACGTTAAAGCTTGAGAAGCCCTGCCTTAGAAAAACTGGGGGGTTGGGGCGCCTGGGTGGCGCAGTCGGTTAAGCGTCCGACTTCAGCCAGGTCACGATCTCACGGTCCGGGAGTTCGAGCCCCGCGTCAGGCTCTGGGCTGATGGCTCAGAGCCTGGAGCCTGTTTCCGATTCTGTGTCTCCCTCTCTCTCTGCCCCTCCCCCGTTCATGCTGTGTCTCTCTCTGTCCCAAAAATAAATAAACATTGAAAAAAAA